GTAACAACAACATAGGTTCAGATGGGGTGAAAGCAGTTGCTTTCGAAATAGCTAAATGTACTAATCTCTCTACTTTAACCCTCGGTTTCTAGTAATTTTTTACACATTTTCTCAATTTATAGTTTAAATAAATAATTAAGAAATCAAAGAATTAAACAATATTTATTTATTTAATTAATTAAGTATTTTTATTAATTTTAATTAGTAACAACAACATAGGTTCAGATGGAGCGAAAGCAGTTGCTTCCGAAATAGCTAAATGTACTAATCTCTCCACTTTAACCCTCGACCTCGAGTAATTTTTTACACATTTTCTCAATTTATAGTTTAAATAAATAATTAAAGAAATCAAAGAATTAAACAATATTTATTTATTTAATAAATTAAGTATTTTTGTTAATTTTAATTAGGTCTAACAACATAGGTTCAGATGGGGCGAAAGCAGTTGCTTCCGAAATAGCTAAATGTACTAATCTCTCCACTTTAACCCTCGACCTCGAGTAATTTTTTACACATTTTCTCAATTTATAGTTTAAATAAATAATTAAAGAAATCAAAGAATTAAACAATATTTATTTATTTAATAAATTAAGTATTTTTGTTAATTTTAATTAGTGAGAACAACATAGGTTCAGATGGGGCGAAAGCAGTTGCTTCCGAAATAGCTAAATGTACTAATCTCTCCACTTTAACCCTCGATTTCTAGTAATTTTTTACACATTTTCTCAATTTATAGTTTAAATAAATAATTTAAGAAGCAATAGAATTAAACATTAAATATTTATTTGAAAGTACTTCCACCAACTAATAAAAATTAAAATTTGGAAATTAAAAAATGAATAATATTTTTTAAATATTTCGAAATTAAATTTTATTGATTTTGTTTTGTTTATCAGATTAATTTTAGTTTCTATTTTATAAAATTTGTTAAAATAATGCATTTTGATAAAATTAATTTTCTATTTAATTTATTATGAAAAAATAAGATTATTTTCTTTATCATGCATAATAAAAAGAAATGTTTTCAAAGAATTTAAAATTAAATTTGGGAATGAATATCTATCTATGTAATGATAAATTTTATAAAAAATTTGTTAAAATTTTTAAATAAAATAAAGAATTATATGCTCTATTAAAATTTAAAACTTAAAACATTATTTAAAAATTTGCATAATATTTAAAATAAGGATTAGTCATATTAAAAATTATTTCCCTGCAACATATATGAAAAAATTTATTTTTAAAAAATCAAAACTTAAAAAATTTAATTAATTTAGATATGTAAAGGCTAAAATCAACAACAATTATAAGATTAATGAGTATTATTATTAAGGAGAATCTTTTTAATT